GCAGGGAGCCAGATTTTGGAGCTTGATCCCAAGACCCTGGGACCATGACCCCAGCCAAAGGCAGATGCTTAACCGACAGCCATCACAGTGCCCCTAAATAAATCTTAAAAAAAAAAAAAAACTATTAAAAAAAAAAAAAGAGTCAGAGGCTCAACTGACTGAGCCACTCAGGCACCCCTCAACCTCTTTATGTTCTTATATCTAAAGTGGCTCTCTTGGGGCACCTGGATGGCTCAGTGGGTTAAGTGTCTGCCTTCTCTGCTTAGGTCATGATCCCAGGACCTGGTGTTGGGCTCCCTGCTCAGCAGGGAGTCTGCTTCTCCCTCTGCCTCCCCTTCTCCCTCTGCTCCCCAACTCATGCTCTTGCTCTCTCTCAAATGAATAAAAATTTTTTTTAAAAGGTGGATCTGTTGTAGACAGCATACAGATAGATCCTGTTGTTTTCATTGTTAAAGATTTTATTTTATTTTTATTTTTATTTTTTTAAAGATTTCATTTATTTATTTGACAGAGAGAGATCACAAGCAGGCAGAGAGGCAGGCAGAGACAGAGGAGGAAGCAGGCTCCCTGCCGAGCAGAGAATCTGATGTGGGACTTGATCCCAGGACCCTGAGATCGTGACCTGAGCCAAAGGCAGAGGCTTAAACCGCTGAGCCACCCAGGCACCCAAAGATTTTATTTTTAAGTAATCTCTACACTCAGTATAGGGCTTGAATTTACAACCTTGTGATCAAGAATCGCATGCTCCAATGACTGAGCCAACCAGGCACACTTGTTTTGTTTTTTTTTTTTAAATTAAATCTACCCATTGCTATATTTTAATAGAAGGGGAGGATTTAACCTGTTTAGATTTAATGTGATTGTTGAGAAGGAATAATTTATTTCTGCCATTTAGCTATTTATGTGTGTCTTATGTGTTTTTTGTTCTTCTGTTCTTCCCTTACCATTTTTTTTATTCAGTTGATTTTTTTATGTGTACCATTTTGATTCCCTTCATGTATATTTTATTATTATTATTATTTTTAGTGGTTGCCATAGGGTTACAACTACCATCTTAAACTTGTAACAATCTTGTTTGAAAAATACCAACTTAGTTTCAATACTATACAGACATTTTCCTCAAACATATCTCTGTTCTTGCCTTTTATACTGTTATTGTCACAGTTTACATCTTTATACATATATACCCATCAAAATAGATCTATAATTATTGTTTTATGCATTTCCCTTTTAAATCATACAAGAAAAAGAGAGAAGTTACCAACCAAACAAAAAATACAATAATACTGGCTTTTATATTTATCTATGAAATTAGTTTTACTAGTATTAAACTTTAATTTTTTTCTTATGATTTTGAGTCATGGTGTTTTTTCATTACAGCCTGAAGAACTCCCTTTAGAATTTATTTCTTTTTCTTTATTTTCTTTCTTTCTTTATTTATTTGACAGAGAGAGACAGTGAGAGAGGGAACACAAGCAGGGGGAGCAGGAGAGAGAGAACCAGTCTTCCTACAGAGCAGGGAGCCCAGTGTGGGGTTCTATCCGAGGACCCTGGGATCATGACCTGAGTCGAAGGCAGACGCTTAACTAATGAACCGCCCAGGTGCCCCTCCCTTTAGCATTTCTTACAGGGCAAGTCTACAAATAATGAGCTCCCTCAGTTTTCATTTATCCAGAAATGTCTTAATTTCTCCTTCATTCTTGAAGGATAATTTTTCCAGGTATTGAATTTTTGGTTGACAGTTTATTTTGTGACAGAATTGAAGGAAGGAGTAAGCAATTCAACAATAATAGTCGGAGTCTTCAATACCCCAGTATCAATAATAGATAGAGGTACTAGATAGAAGATTAACAAGGAAATAGACGATCTGTCTAGTAGCATTCTATTTGCATGGAATAGACAGACAGAACTTTGTAGAACCCTCCATACAACAGCAGAATACATGTTTTTCTCAAGTGCGTATGGAATGTTGTACAAGAGAGAACATACGTTAGGTCACACAATGCGTCTCAAGGCACCTGAGTGACTCAGTTGGTTGAGGGTCCAGCTCTTCCACTGCGATCAGGTCATGATCTCAGGGTCTTGGGATAGAACCCTGCATCAGGCTCCACACTCACCTGGGAGTCTGATCCAGGATTCTCTCCCTCTTCCTCTGCTCCTCCCCCTGTTCATGTTCTCTCTCTCTCAAAGAAATAAATATTATTAAATTTAAATAATAAATTTAAATATTTAAATTTTAAATATTTTTTTTGAGAAAGAGAGTACGACTGGGGTGAGGGGCAGAGGAAGAAGCAGGAAGCTGAGCAGGAAGCCTGACATGGGGCTCAATCCTGGGACTCTGGAATCATGACCTGAGCTGAAGGTGGACACTTAATTGACTGAGCCACCCTCAGGGGGACTGAGCGCCCCTAAAATAAGTAAATCTTTTCTTTTTAAAGTCTCAGTAAATTTTAAAAATTTGTTTATTTATTTATTTTTGGTCTCAGTAAATTTAAAAAGACTGAATCAAACAACTTTTTTTGAGGTATAATTGATGTAGAACATTATATTAGTTTTAGTGTACAGTGTAATGATTTGGTGTTTGTATACACTGTGAAATGAATCACACAACTTTGACAAAAATGGAATGATATTAGAAATCGGTAACAGGAGGAAATTTGAGAAATTCACAAATATGTGGAAATTAAGGAACATATTCGTACATAGCCAATGGATCAAAGAATAAATTACAATGAAAATTAGAAGACATTTTGCAATGAATGAAGATGAAAATGTTACATACAAAATATATAAGACGCAGCTAACACAGTGCTTAGAGGGAAATTTCCAGTAGAAGTGCCTACATTTACATCCAATTTATCTTCTTTTGTTAGTCATGATTTTAGTATCATATCTAAAACTTTATTGCCAAATTCAAGGTCATGAAAGATTTACCACTCTATTTTCTTCTAGGAGTTTTGCTTTAGCTCTTTTATTTAGATCATTGATTCATTATGAGTTAATTTTTATATGTGATATAGGTATGGGTCCAGCTTTATCCTTTTGCATGTGGATATCCAGTTGCCCTAGCACCATTTCCTTCCACATTGAGTGATTTGGCACCCTTACAAAAATCAAATGATCACAGATGTAAGGCTTTGTTTCTGGACTCTCACTTCTTTTTTTTTTTTTTTAAAGATTTTTATTTATTCATTTATTTGACTGACAGAGATCACAAGTAGACAGAGAGGCAGGCAAAGAGAGAGGGGGAAGCAGGCTCCCTGCTGAGCAGAGAGCCCAATGTGGGGCTCGATCCTAGGACCCTGAGATCATAACATGATCCAAAGGCAGAGGCTTAACCCACCGAGCCACCCAGGTGCCCCTGGACTCTCATTTCTATCCCATTGATCTATTTGTCTATTTTTATGCAAGTACCATACTGTTTTGATTACTGTCGTATTGCAATAAGTTCTAAAATTGGGAGGTATGGGGGTGCCTGGGTGGCTCAGTGGGTTAAAGCCTCTGCCTTTGGCTCAGGTCATGATCCCAGGGTCCTGGAATTGAGCCCTGCATTGGGCTCCCTGCTCAGCGGGGAGCCTGCTTCCTCCTCTCTCTCTGTTTACTTGTGATCTCTGTCTGTCAGATGAATAAATAAAATCTTTAAAAAAAATTAAAAATAAAATTGGGAGGTATGAATCTTCCAACTTCGTTCTCCTTTTTCAAAATTGTTTTGGCTCTCCAGGACCCCTTGAATTCCATATAAATAAAGGATTGGCTCTTCCATTTTTGCAAAAAAAAAACCAGCCGTTGGCATTTTATAGGGACTGCAACTGAATCTGTAGATCACTTTGGGTAGCATTGTCATCTTAACAATATTAAGTCTTTTAATCCATAAACAAAGGGTGTCCTTCCACTAATTTGGGTCTTCTTTAATTTCTTTCAGTAATGTTTTGCAATTTTTAGTGTATAGTTCTTTCATCTCCTTAGTTTAATTTATTCCTAGGTATTTTATTCCTTTTAATGCTACTGTAAGTGGAAGTTTCCTTTTAGATTGTTCATAGCTGATATGTAGAAACACAGCTAAATTTTTTGGTGTTAATCTTGTACTCTGCAACCTTGCTGAATTTGTTTATTAGCTCTAGTGGTTTTTGGTGGAATCTTTGGGATTTATTTTTTATGTATAGGACCATGCCATCTGTGAATAGACATAATTCTACTTCTTTTCCAGCTTGTATGCTTTTTCTTTCTTTTCCTTGCCTAATTGCTCTGTCTAGAATTTCGAGTAACAGTGGTGAAAGTGAGCATCCCTGTCTTGTCCTTTATCTTAGAGGGGAAACTTTCAGAGTTTCACCACCATGTTACTTGTGGGTTTTTCATAACTGCACTTCATGATTTTGAAAAAGATCCCTTGAGAGAGAGAGAGAGAGAAGAAGTGGGTGAGGAGAGGGGGAGAGGGAGAGGGAAAGAGAATCTTAAGCAAGCTCCACACTTAGTGCAGAGCTCAATTTGGGGCTTGATCTCATCACCCTGAGATCATGATTTTTTAAAAATATTTAATTTATTTATTTGACAGAGAGATCACAAGTAGGCAGAGAAGCAGGCAGAGAGAGAGGAAGAGAAGCAGGCTCCCTGCTGAGCAGAGAGCCCGATGTGGGGCTCGATCCCAGGATCCTGGGATCATGACCTGAGCCGAAGGCAGAGGCTTTAACCCACTGAGCCACCCAGGCGCCCCTGAGATCATGATTTGAGCTGAAATCAAGAGTCAGACACTTAACTGACCAAGCCACTGAGGCGCTCCTGCCCAAATACTTTTAATATGCTATTACATTTGGTTTCCTAGTATTTCGTTGAGGATTTTTATATCGGTGTTCATAGTGTTGGTCTGTAATTTTCTTTTCTTGTGTTGTTTTGGTCTGAGTTTGGTATCATGGCCTCATGCGTTAGGGAGTATTGCCTCCTCTTCTGATTTTTGAGAGAGTTTGAGAAGAATTGATGTTAATTTTTTTTTTTAATTTCGCTAGACTGTGGTACCTGGGTGGCTCAGTCGATTAAGCATCTGCCTTCGACTCCTGGTCATGATCTCGGGATCCTGGGATCAAGCCCCACATTTTACTCCCTGCTCAGTGCAGAGTCTCCTTCTTCCTCTCCCTCTGCTCCCCCTCCCCCCATCATGTTCGCTCTCTCCCGTAAATAAATAAATAGATAAATAAATAAATCTTTTTAAAAAATTGAGTTGGTAGACTGAGTAAAGCAGATTGCCCTACCTAGTAAGGGTAGACATCACTTCTCCTATTGAAGACCTGAATAGAATAAAAGGCTGAGTGGGAAAGAGTTCTCTCTGCCTGACTGTCTTTGAGCTGGGGCATTGGTCTTCTCCTCCCTTTGTTCTTAGACTCAGACTGAAACTTATACCATTGGCTCCTGGGTTGGGACGTTTCAGCTTCTGTAATTGCAAGAGCCAATTCCTTGTAACAAATCTCTTCCTAATATATACTGGTTTTGTTTCTCTGGGGAATTCTAGTACTGAGCCCTTTTTAAGTACCCAATTCACTGGCCATAAATACATTTTCATGTTGTACAATCATCACCACTACTCATTTTGAGAACTTTTTCATGATTCTAAACAGAAATTCTGTCCTCATTAAACAACCATCCCCTATTCTTGTTCTCACCATTCCTTGGTAACCTCTATTCTTTTTTGTCTTTGTAAATTTCCCTGTTCTAGGGACCTCATATCAGTGGAATCATGCAGTATGTGTCTTTTTGTGACTGGCTCATTTCTTAGCATAATGTCTTCTAAGTGTCCCACTTAGCATAATGTCCTCAGGGTGCATCCATGCTATTGCCTGTGAATTTCCTTCCTTTTAAAGGTTGAATAATGTTGGGTGCCTGGGTGGCTCAGTTTGTTAAGCGACTGCCTTTGGCTCAGATCATGATCCTGGAGTCCTGGGATCGGGTCCCGCATGGCGCTCCCTGTTCGGCGGGGAGTCTGCTTCTCCCTCTAACCCTCTCCCCTCTCCTGCGCGCTCTCTCTCTCTCAAGTAAATTAAAAAAAAAATCTTAAAAAAAAAGTCTGAATAATTTTCCTTTGTGTGTGTGTGTGTGTATCTCGCAGTTTATCAATTTGTCTGCTGATGGACATTTGAGTTGTTTCTGCCTTTAGCTGGTGGGAATAGTGCTGCTGTGAGCGTGGGTGAACAAGGAAGCCATGCCTTTTTAAGTTCTGCTCTTTTCATCAAGGAATTATGTGGTGGGCATCAGCTTTTTTTCCTGTCTAGTACCCCTCCCTTCTGCCACAGCCCCTCCTTCACCAAAAATAGAAGAGAATCTATAGTCAGGAATCACCCCAATTGTGCTAAATATCTCCTTTGCCCCAGCTGTGGCCATGGGGTCCCAAACAGAACAAAGCAGGGCAGAGCTGAGGAAACTGAGGAAGGGACCCTGTTTGCAGCCTTCCTACCAGCTGTTTGGAAACACCGCTGTCAGGGAATAAAGCTCACTTGAGTCATCAAGAGAGTTGGGGAGAGAATGACTTGATTTCAGGTGCTTCTGTGGCCCAGGTGTACTCCTTTCCTTCTTGGGATCACTTGGGAGACTCTGGCATCCTTCTGACCTTCTTGTCCAAGCTACCACCTTTGGATTTATGTCTCTTGCAACCAAAAGGACATAAACACACACACACACAAATGACGTGCTCAGTCCATATCAGAATTCCTCCTGTCAGGAAGGAGCGAAGCAGCTTGTCTTAGGTCAGATTCTCCCAAAAGCTTAACCCAGGTAAGTGATTTATCAAAGAAGAGTTCTCAGAAAAAAACATTAAGGGAATGAAGTAGACAGGTGAGCACAGTAAACATGGGAAGAAGACTAGCCAGTGTGGGGGCATCTCAGGGTCCCTACCTCACACCCCTCAGCTCTGTCCTGCTTTGTTCATTTTGGGATCAAATGGCCACAACTGGGGCAAAAGAGATATTTAGCACAATTGGGGTGATTCCTGACTACAGATTCTCTTCTATTCCTGGTGAAGGAGGGCATCTCTGCAGAATTTATCCTGCTCCAGGCAAAAGAGCTGGGCTTTAGTGCTGACTCACCCATCACTGACTCTAAGCACCCCCAGAGCAGGGAGGGTGTGAAGATATCAAATTTCCCATGGATAAACACCTCCAGTGCCCAAGAATGAACCTCTGAAGGTTGCAGGTGTGAGCCATTGGCAGGGAAACATGCAGAATCCCAGCTTGCAGTGCTGGTAAAAGGGACCTGAGGATCTGAGGTGGAGGACACAGTGTTTGAAATGACAGCCGGGGACAGCTGGGGCCGCTCCTTCTTCCTGGCATCCCACATGCCCCACCCGCCAGTGAAAGGCTGGAGGATGCCATTAATACTCACATGTCCACACACAGGTTGACACAGTGATCCCACCACCAAAACTAATATGTGTCAATCTGTGTTTGCATGCTGGAAAGCTCTCAGCTCCCCCCACCCTCCGTTTTCCACGGTGACTTCTAATGTTCTACATGGGGCATTCTGTTTACCAAATGTGTACTGGCTAGAGAAAAAGAAAGGGGTTCTTCAAGGCCTTTTCTGCCTCCACAGCAGACGCTTCGAATGCCAGCAGCGATCAGCCAGGCGATATAACAACGATCATGGTAGTGAATTCTAGCTTTACTGAACACTTCCCATGTACAAAGCTTTGCATTCATCTCATGTAATCCCTTATACAAGGGAGATACCAGTATTCTCTCTATTTTCTGGATAAGGAGTCTAAGTGAATAAATGATGGAGCTGGGGTTTAAATCCAGGCTGTCTCCACAATGTAATTAATTTCTCATATGTTAAATAACAAAGATCCATGAAAGAAGATATTGAGTAATGAATACTAGGAGAACCATGAGAAACAGTTTTATTGGAAATATTCTAACACATCTTCTGAACAAGTAATCAAAAAAATAAAGACACAGAAGATATGACCCTACAAAATTTTTTCAACCTGAAAACAAATAGTGTACCTTCTATTCAAGTTCCATGGACAGTGACAAAATTCAACAAATAGTAAGCTACAGAGAATATTTTGGTAAATTTTGAAAAGTGGAAATTCTAAAAGTCAGTCTCTGATCAAATGCAATACAGCTAACAGTAATATAAAACACTCCACTTAGAAATGGAAAAACATGAATAGCCTACCAAATTACTCTTAGGACAAGAAGTAAATCAAGAGTAAAAAAACAAACTATTTAGAAAATAATTTTTAAAATAAGATACAGTAAAATCTATCTGCAGAGGTAAAATTAACAGCACTAAATGCTTTTTAGGGTCAAAAAGAGAAAAATAAAATGAATGAGTGGACCACAAAAGTTGAGATTTTGGAAAAGAGCACAAAAATAGCCCCCCCTTAAAAAAAATCGGAGAAAGGAAGTACTTGAAATAAAAAACAAAAAAACAAAGAAAAAACAACAACAACAACAACAAAAACACCCAGAAGCTTAAGAGTAGGAGGGATGTGCCTTCCAGCCTGTGGACATAGAGGTATGTCCCGGAGCTCTGCTTGAACTTGGTCCTCTGACAGGTGTCCTCAATCCCCCCCCCTTCTCACTGCGCATGCTCTGGTGTGCTCCTTTACCGCTGAGGCTTCCGTTCCCCCCGCTAGAGTCTCCACATCAGCACCGTATCTTGTATACAATGAGCCTGCCTTTGGCATCTTCGCGTGCTTTACAATAAATTCTCTCCACTTGGGGTTCCCGTTCTATTAGACTTGAGGTCTTTACAACAGGAACTATGTTCTGATCGTCATTGTATCCACAGGGCCTGGGAGACGTGAGTCCTGAATAAACGTTTGCTGAATGAAGGAACGAGTGGATGGGCTCGAAGCACTGATTCCTGAGTTGCATTTGGTCCCGGGCTTGCTTCTATCCCTCCCTGCCCAGCCACAGGCTCCAAGCCAATGTCCTGAGGCCTGGAAATGAATTATTCCAACAGTAAGAAAATGAACAAAAAGTAGCTGCCTAATGGGATTTGTACATAACCAACAACGACTGTGTGGGCAATGATTTTTTTCCCCCTTAGTTTTCTTTTCTGCTTGGATAATCAACTATTTCCTTTGTGAAATGGAAAATAATCCTCTCTGCCCTTAAGGCCTGGTTCAAATGCCACCTTCAAATGCCACCTTCTCCTGGTTCAAATGGAACCTTCCCTCATTTCCCACTAGTAACACTCTTGCCTTTCCCGGGCTCCCAGAACATCTGACCCTCCCTCTTGGTGTCTAGATATTCTGCCTTTGCTTATTTGTGTCTCCGATGGGCTTGTCGACATCCTCTAGACAGAACTGAGGGTCCCCTGCACAGCACCACCCTGGTTAAGTGAAGGGTGCTCCAGGATGTTCATTCAGACTCAACCCATTTTCCTCAGCACGTGCAGGAGTGCAGAGGGGACAACAGACTTTGGATGAGTGATTACCTGGCTGGCAGAGACCACGCGGAACTTAAAGTATGTGAGGGCAGAGGCTCACAGTGGCCAGACTCCCACAAACCTCAGGGATCAGCTCGTGCACACTCCTACCTATGATGCACCTGGCTGAGAAAAGATCCCAGAAGCAAGCTGTGCATCCCCAGCTAAATCGAGGAAGGGCGATGGGGGCTGCTGTCATTACCGGGGGCTGATACGTGCAGCTGAGGCAGATGTGTTGATCATCTTTTTTGTGCCCAGGTGAATAAGGAGAGGGCATCCCAGACGGATTCATCTGAGCAATCTCCAGTGACAAGAGGATAGATTTATTTTAAAAAGAAGCATAGCATTAGCCACTGCCGTGACTCTCCAAATCATCCTTACTTGGCTGTCAGAACAATCTTTCTCAAACTCAGATCAGAACCTCCCCTACTCAGAACCCATCAGTGGTCCCTGGAGCCCTCAGGATTTGGCCTGACATTGCAGGTTCCACAGGGCCTGGCCCCCCATCTCTCCATTGCCATCTGCTGCCACACACACCCATGCCCCCAAACAGCGACTGACCTTAGAATTCCCAGTCTGCCCCCCTTCACTACGTATTCTCCCCTTACAGCAT